TGTAGGGCCTTGTAAAACCCGAAAAAGCCCAGGGGGGGCTGGGCCTCTTTTTGACCCCTGCCGGCGATTCGCGAGTCCCCCTTACTGCTGCTTGGCAGAGAAAAACGAAATTTCAGTGTGCAGCTCGCAGACACAAAATTCGCGTGTTTATGAAAATTGCAGTAATGTCATATTAAAAATTGCAATAAAGAATAATTGCTGATGAACAAGCCGAAAGACTGGGTTGGTGGGGGCTGGGCTGGACCACTCCATGCAATAAACCTCCAAGTCTGAGCACTCATCAGCACCACTTTTTTGGGTGCTCCAAATCTTTGAGATGCTGGCTTCATCACTGTCCTCTTATAGTACCAAAGTCGTGGATTTGAAAAGGAATTGGTAAAATTTGAGTTTTGATAGGACTGATAGGGTTTGATTATTCACGTTTCCTTGGCTGTTTTGGCTGTAGGTGGATTTCCTGTGGCTAGACTACCGCGAGAGATTGGTAACAAAAAATTCAAACAAACCAATCACGAAGCGCAGAAATATTTCTCTGCCAATCAGATCGTGTCCCGCTCTTTTTGAAAATGACGGTTGATCTGAAGCCACGATCTACATTAGACGTGAAAGAAAGATCCATGAAAGAAATACGAGGACTACTTATTTAGATTTATTCCTAGATTCATCATTTTTAGCTCAAGTAAAAAATCCCTAAAATAAAATGGTTAAGACTCGAAAGATTTTTGCTGTCGGAGAGCCGGTTTTCGCCAAATGGCCCGGGAGTACCAAGTATTTTGAGGCAAAAGTGGACGAAATACTCGATTCTGAATACCGCGTTACTTTCAAAGATGGAACGAGCATGGATATCGATAAAGCAGATGTCTATGTGAGTATTTTATGGGAAGTTCTCAGATTTAGTTATAAGTTAAACTTATGTAATCTGTAATAGATGTTTTGGTTTTGTCCAGGTGAAGAATTTCAGTTATTTGCGTTCTGTTGAGCAATATCGTCGCTTCATAAACATGAAATCAGTAATGAAGGAATTTGGTGCTAAAACAAATTAAATTTTCATTTAAAAAAATTTATTCCCTCAGCACTCTTTTAAATTATATTTTGTAAAAGAGCCTTTATAACTCAGAAATGATCTTATTAAGCCAGGAAGTAACAACTGTACATTTTCCCCGAAATTCTGCTAATCTAATTATCTTTTTGGAGGGCTGAAGCCAACTGACTGACTCTATGGATTGTTCTTTGTGTTTTAGAAAGAGGGTTATTTTCGTTCTCGATCTTCTTCTCCTGCTAGAAGAGGCAGAAGCAGATCCCCTGGTCGAAGGAGATCGCGATCGCGATCACGATCGCCAGCTAGAAAAACAAGTACACCGAAGCGATCAACAAGCGAAAGTCCACCTCGCAGGGCACGATCTCCTGGTAGATCAAGAAGACAGACCAAGACAGAAAAAGTTGAAGCTGAAATCAAAAAGGAAGAAACCAAAAAAGAAGAAAAAGAAGTTCAAGAAACCCCAGTTAAAACTTCACAGGTCAAACAAACAAGGTCAATCCCTCCCCAACAGGAAACTACTGCTACTTCTACTCGCCTGACACGGTCAGTCACTAAGCATTTGGTAAAAGAAGAAAAAGAAGCTTTGTTTGGTACGAAGAAACTGGAAGAAGAGATAAAAGAAAAATCACGCAAGTCTAGAAGACCAGCTTACGAGTTTGGAGGGCCTTTGGGGGTTTTCTTTCTCATGATAGCTTTACCAGCAGTAGTCTATGCTGTTTTCATCTGTAGTGGCAAGAAAAGCTCCTGTACCTTTAGGGACTATAAGGAGGTGAAGTTACCAAAAAAGTGGGATGCCTATYTTAACGAAGGCAGCTTGATAGTCGTTGGATGGATTGTTTTTCAAGCTATCCTGTATGCTATTCCAGTTGGAAGGGTAAGAATATAGACAATATTTCATTTTTTTTTAAATTTGGAAGCTAAAAACATTACATTAGGCTTCATTGTGTAATATATATCTCCACGTGTTTTAACTTTAAAAAGTTGAAAAGATCTTAATTGTTCTTTTGTTGATTAATTGTTTATACTAGATTGCTCAAGGTGTGGCTTTACCTGATGGACGCAGGTTGAACTACAGGACCAATGGTAGGGATTAAACCACAAAAATCATTCCTCCATCTGTTGCACATTGATGAATACCATCCATCGTTCACTCTTTCAAGTCCTATTTCAAATTCTCTTTAGTTTCTTATATCCTAATACTTTTACCAGTTTTGGAATGTTTTCCTTTAAACCTAGAAATTGAAATCTTTACAGCATGGGAGAGAACAAAAACTACTTCCATATGACAATCAAAGAGAAAAATGGATGCTCTTTTATCACTGGTTATAGAGTCTACTTCTAAAGCTTTTCAAATGTTTATTTTGTTAGGGTTCATTGCTCTTGTTTTCACCATGGCTTGTTTCCTCTTCGCGAAAAGCAAGAACGTCCCCTTTACGTACGTGTACGACAAATACCCTGCTCTAATAACATCTGCTACCATCACATCAACTCTGATTGCTGTGTTTGTGTACATCAAGGCAAAGAGAGAAGGAACTGGACTTTCTTCCACTGGAAACACAGGTAATTTGATTGGATTTCTAGGATAGACCTTCGATCCTCAGCCCCTCCCCAACCCTTGGAAATTACAATTCCCCTCCATGGGGGAGGTATGGATATTTTTTGGAACTACACTATGTACACTTCTCAGATCCCCAAGAAAATCAAAATGACATTTCCTCCATATTATACCCCACTCAAAACTATGCTCCACGGCCCCTAATAGTTCAATAGATCATCTGAGCTATATAATAAAAAAAAGCTAATACTAGTTATTTTTTTCTTGTTCAGGTAATGTTCTGTATGACTTCTTCATCGGACATCAACTCAACCCAAGGATTGGCAACTTTGACTTAAAGTTCTTTTTTGAAATGAGACCTGGTCTTATTGGTTGGGTAGGTATTGATTTATTCATGTAAATAATTATACAAACTAAACATTTCATTTGAAAGCATTTGATAATAAAGTTTATTTATATTTGATTGCCATTATATATATTCACTCTTGATAGCGATGACACTGGTGTGTGTCAAAACATTGAGTAAACTTGTCACCATAAACTACATGATGAAATAATGATGATGATGATAATGATAATAATAATAATAAGTAATATATACAGTATTTGTGTCCATTTTGTATCCGATATACAAAATCTCGGCATAATATCAAACATCTAGGTTAGTTTCTTTGTGTTTCACTAAAATTTTCAAAATTAAAGTGAATCTGGCCAAGAAAATCCAACTTAAAAGTTATGCAAATGAACACAATTTTGTATCAGATTTACAACACTCTTCATGGTTGTGATTTCTGTTGTGTTTTCCTCATGAATTATTAATGGTTCTGATAATAATTAATATGCTTCCAAAAATGAAAAATGTAGATATCAAATACAAAGTTAAATAATTTTTGAGGGATTTTTTTTTGTTGGCCTTTTTGTTGATTGGTCTGGTCTGTTTTCTCATGCCAATATATTTTTCTTTTGGACAGTTGATCATCAACTTTTGTCTGGCTAACCAAGAGTACAAAAACTACGGTGCCCTATCACCAGCAATGATCATGGTCTGTTCGTTCCAGCTGGTGTATGTTATGGATGCACTGCTATTTGAGGTAATTATTGAAAATGGGTGATCTGAATGTCTCCTCTCCCATGACCCCAGGGGGAGGACTGTAGGGGGGATTTGGTGCCCTATTACCAGCTATGATCATGGTCTGTATGTCCAGCTGGTGCATGTCATGCATGCCCTGATATTTGAGGTAATTGTTGATAATGGGTGATCTTCATGTCCCCTCTCCCATACCCCCAGGGGGGAGGGTACTAGAGGTGATTTGGTGATAAGAATGTGCCGCTATGATCACACTGCGATTTTTGGTCACACTTGCAATGCAAGAAACATCTAATATGACTTAGCCAGTACAAGAAAATATCCAAAATGCAACGTAAATTTAAAGAACTTTACACTAGAGAAATAAGTTGAACTAAAACATGATCAGATTTTTATCTCCTGATTCATCATGTTTTGCTTCCTATTTTAGGCTTCTATCTTGACAACCATTGACATTGTGCATGAAGGATTTGGGTTCATGCTGTCCTTTGGGAACATCGTTTTTGTGCCATTCATGTTCTCTCTTCAAGCAAAATACCTTGCAGATCATCAAGTGGACATTCCTTGGCCATTTATCGTCGCTATCATTATTCTCAAAGGTAATCGAACAGGATAAGATGTTTTTGAAACAATATGCGGAATTTTCTTTTCTTTTTGAATGAAGCATATTTAGATTTTTCAAGTGTAAATTATGACTTTCGTAAAAATTTTCTTGGGTTAATGGTAAAATGTTATAGTTCAGCCATGGAAGTAGTTAACTTTTCATAAGTTGATAGGCTCAGAGAGAATGCTAACCACCCTATTCGTATGAAGACTTTCAATTGCATTATTATTRATTAAATATTAATAACTATCAATAATTTATTTTTTCAAATCTCTCAGTTGTTGGCTTTGTTATTTTCCGTGGTTCCAACCTGCAGAAAGACTACTTCAAGCTTCAACCAAATGACCCTGATTTCCAAGGTACGTGCAAATGATATCTTTTGAAACATCTTGCTATAGTCTATACAACCACCTCTTGTCTTAAACTGCCGAGACAAGCTGCAATTGCAATGTCTACCACATCAAAAAGGTTTGAAATGGGTAAAAATCAGTATTAAATCCTGATTGGCTAGTCTGAATAGGATCATTGCATTGCGAGTAAACATGGGTTTAGGCGTGGAATTCCAAAAATGTTGCAAAAAAAAGTTCAAACTTTTTGATTTTTTGCAACAATTTTCGTTTTGTGAGATATCATTGCCGTCAAAGTTGCAGGGCATGATACACGCTGAAATTGTGTCTGGCGCTGGCAATGCAATGGAAAAATTGAGATTGCATTGACAGCGCCAGGGCATAAAAGTACTGATGCGAATACATTAAAATGTAGTCATACTTTTGCATGTTGCACTGTAATTAAATAAAGAAATAACACTCTTTGAAATGACAAGTGGTTTGTAGCAGGAAATCATTTCATACAAGATTGTATTCCCAATATATCTGCCTACGAGGGTTGAATTCCTTTGCTGGGTTTTTTTTTCGCAGACAAGGAAACAATCCTGACACCAAGTGGGACGAAACTGATGGTGTTTGGTTGGTGGAGGCTTGTTCGCCATCCCAATTACTTTGGTGACATTCTGATGGCTCTGTCCTGGTCTCTAACCTGTGGTAAGTCTTGTTGCATTTCCTGGACATTTTATTATAATTACTATCTGTACTAGCAGTACTAGTTGTGGACAGATGTAGATACCTGAAACTTGTCGTTAGATGTGTTGGTGTTGTTGTAGCTGTAACAGGAGCAACTGTTGTAGTTAGTGTTGGTGGTGATGTTGCTGATTTAGGGCAATGTTACACGAGGCATTCAAGCATAACCTGCAACACACCACCTTTGCAACACAAATTGTCAACGTTTCTGTTGTTGTTGTTGATGTAATTGTTATTGTTGTTGCTGCTGTAATTATTTGGTGGAAGTGTTGTGTAGGATAAATGGCACCTTTGTAGCGTAGTGGTGAGAGCGCTCGCCCCTGTTTCCCTCCCTCCACAAAAATTGATATTCAAATTCCAAATTTGAATTCACTGGAAGAAAAGTTTTTTAATGTCTCTGTCAAACCCCATTTATTTGTTTTTATTTTTTATTTATTTTATTATTACATAAACCACAACTATTGCTTCTGCAATATTGCAGTCGTTCACAACTACGTGCACTGAGTTCTTTTATAAGTGTTACCCATGTACAGTGGAAGGTAACATCCGATCTATTAGACCGTTCAAAGCATTTCTTTCAATATTGATATCATTCAAGGCTAAAATGAGAATATATCCGACCTAGTTGTAATTAGGAACGAGAATTGTTCCTTGTCTTAGATTCTAACCTTGTGAACGGGAATTGTGAAAAACTAAAGATTCGTGTTCTGAAAATTAAGTAAAAGTTATTTAATTTTTTCCAGGATTTTCTCACTTAGTTCCATGGTTGTACCCCATCTACCTCGTCTGCCTTCTGGTTCACCGCCAACGACGAGTCGAAGCCCTATGCCTCAAAAAATACGGCAAAAGCTACGAGGAATACTGCAGACGAGTTCCATACAGGATCTTTCCTCTTGTTTACTAGTAACAAGGTGTGAAGTGTTAAGCCTCTTACAGAAATACTGTATCCTTACGATAAAGACTTGCTAAAATAGCTCGTTTCTGATTTTGTGAAAAATACTACGGGAACTTGATGTGTACAAAATGCTAGACAATGAAGATTTTACTTCTAGTTAACTTATGTATAGTCAAACATTCTTCTCATACTTTTAATCCATCATGTATTCGATATTTTTGTATTCAGTGTTTTACTCGTTTTTCATGCGTTGTTGATATACAAACAACAACTGAAAATCTTTGAAATTGTCTTCCAAAAATGTTGAAGTAAAAGTAGAAGAACAAAGTAGAATAAGTTCTCTCTATTCTTTGTAACAAAGAATATTTCTTGAGCGTGCAGTATTTTCTCTCAATTTTTTAACGAAACATTTTTGCGCGAAAATTTGTACGCCTTTTGTATAAGTCCTAACAAAGAGAAAACCCAAAGTTATGCAGTYTTATGCGCTTAGAATCTTTTATTTGCCAGCCCTGTAAAGACTGAACAAGTCCACATAAAAGATAGTTAGACATGTGTAAACAAATGATTTTTTTCGTGATTTTTGCGACCTATTTTTCTCTTTGCGCATAAAAAACTTGAATGTAAGATTTTTGAACTTATGATTTCACAAAAGTTTATAACAAGTTTTAGAAAGACTTATAGAATTTATTTTAGAAAGTTCTTAAGTTTTAGATATTGTAAATAACACTTATTCCAAGCATTCGTATTGTTATAGATTTATTAATATTAGAAAAGTTTGGTTTTGTACTTCCTACGCATGCATGATCGGGACGCCGTTTTTGAAATAATTGGAATAAAACGAGATTTATCTCGCTCTATATGAACAGTAAAAATCTTTATTCTTTATTCCCAAGGAAGTAGAAAATAAAACTGTGTTAATACTTTTAATCTCATTTAGAGAGATTTTTTGTGAGTAGCGAAAGTGATGGGTCGATGTGCACCGTGATTGGCTAACGTGAAATCAGATTCCATTGGAAAGCCATATCAGTGTTATGGTATATGTAACGTGACGTAATTTACTTTCCAACTCGCACAAGCTTCCCTCTATGTGCGATCATTTCCATCAAATATATAATCTTGTGTATATCGTAATCTCCATTATTATCCTTGCATTTATCCAATAAAGGCATTTTAATCTAATGTTATATGTTATTTTCATATAGTTTTCTTGTCTTAAAAAAATTATGAATTTATATTTGGATACTACATCCCCATGCTAAGAAAATGTCTTTGACGATAACGATAAATATAAGTTAAGTTAGCTTTGCTCATTACGGTCCTTCAGTAGTCTCAAGAACTCTGAAATGAAAGATAAAACAGTTAACATTTTGCCATGACCGTGAAAACGGTACGGTAGCTTTTCGCACGAGCTTTTTGCTCTTCCAATCAGAATACTCAAACTTGGCACAATCAAGACATGGCACGTTCGCGCCGTACAATTCAGGCTTCGGGGGCTTTCGCTCTGAACTCTTTCACATTCAGTGGTCAGTTCAATTATTTTTGATGACCAGGATGCGGTCCTTGACACCGCTTTGAGGCAGGAATGTTGTGTTTTAGTCAAATCCTTGAAACTAGTTGTCTATCATCAATGCTACGTTCTGATTGGATGAGCTACTTAATTTTTCTTGGAAAAAGTTCCGATATTTCCAGATTTCTCGTTATACCTTCAAAGTTGATTCCGCCATCACCATCGATATCTGCTTGTTTTATCATCTCCTCTGCTGCATCGTCACTAAGTTCGCATCCCATACCCGACAGCACAAACTTCAGCTCATCAGCGCTTATCACACCGTTGCCATTTTTATCGAAGAGACTGAATGCTTCTTTCAGGTCTTGTTCAGAAGAATCTTCCTCGGACTTTTTTGCCATAATTTCCAGAAACTCTAGAAGGTCTATGGTGCCACTGGCTAGGAATGAAAAGAAAAATGATTAAATGGTTGCATGGATGAATGACTGAATGAATCGACATAGTGAGAGCTTGTGTCGATTCACTATTTTCCATACATTGGTTCACTGGGCAAAGACAAAGCGCTCAAGCGAGGTGCCAAGGTACTTTCAAAGGATTATTCAAATTTGAACCTTGCAACCTCGACTGAATGCTTTGTGTTTGAGCAGTGAACCGATGTATGGAAAATGATGAATAGAGGCAACAAAATCGCGCAAATTGTTTTGCATTGTAAGCTGAACCGTTTTTCGTCTTCACCCAGAGCGCGCAATAGCAGAGATCCTTCTGCTTCGTACCATCTCTATCAGCAACAGTCATCATTTCTTGCAGTTCTTTCGGTGAAGGGTTGTGGCCAATAGATCTCATAATCACCCCAAGCTCCTCGCAGCTTAGATGACCGTCACCATCTTGGTCAAAATCATTGAACGCCTTCGTATATTCTGCAAAAGAAATACGATGTACTAGTAATTCCAAGCTGTGCGAGGTTCACACACTCAACAACAGTCAAAATGTCAAATGGTATCAGAAAAGCATTTTTGAAACTAAGTGTTTGTCTCAATGGGTTTCTGTGGAGCGATGTCTATAGAATTTTCGCGCTAGAAACGCGTGCGTTCGCTCTCTTAGACCATCGAACTCTCCCCAAGATTTTGATGGAAGTGAGCATATATTTTTTTCTTCACTCTGCTTAGCCACTTTCCATTCTAGTTTATTTGGATTATTTCTGGGCCAAGAGATTCATAAATGGAAATTATATTCCCCCATTAGCTCCCATTAATAACAATTTTCTCGTGATACTGGTAGGATATCGTATACACATACCATTTATTTGCGCTTCTGTGAGCTTGAAGGCCTAGAATAAAAACATGGAGTAAGACAATATCAAAGTCATGCAGGCGCAAAAATTCCCTTTGCATACTTAATCTTTTCAGTGAAAGAAAAAACTCCAATACTGCTACTGTAATTAGTGCACAATGTCGAGCTATTATTTAATCGTACAAAGCCAAAGTAATTGGCAAAATATAACGAAAATTAAAAATAGTTTCTTAGTGATATTATGAAGGTTTACGTTGTAATTCCGGTAGAATATTTACCTTGCACGTTTGCAGAGCTCAAATCTAACCTCGCGGTCAGTAAACAATAACCGCTTAAGCATTTTTGTCACATTTACTGAGTGTACTATCTATGTTCTTTTTATTCCTTGGAACTGACTTTATAATAACGTCATATGAATTTAGCTTTTTACAATGTTATCCGGGATTTTATCACATTTTATTATCGATTTTTCAAAACTCTCTTGTTTTAGCTATGCGTACGCCATCTTGCTGAGCTATACTTTMCTTCGCGGTGGGATTCAATTTGTTCATCAGTACTAAGAAAACCTTCAAATTCTTACGGAATAATTCAAAAGATTCGCCATGCATCCCACTGTGGTTGATAAAGAGAGTCGTTTTGTCTGTATTTTCGACTCACATTCTTGTGTCTTGAATGTTACTATGAACAACCAAAACATTTAAAAGCAAGAGGAATAAGCCTGAAGTGAGATGACGCTTTGCCCCCGACTCTATACCATAATAGTTTTTAAAATTCTTTCATATTAAAATTTTTGATTCCTTAGAGAATACAGGTACAATAGTTATAATTAAAGAACAAAAGCAGTGTGAAAAGGATTATGGTCTAGAGACGGGGGTAAAACGTCATCTCGCTTCAGGCTTATTGTCTGCCTGTTCAAGGATTCAAACGTTGACCGTTCTATGGCGTTTGCACCTGTTCAAATCTGCCAAGGTCATAAATTTCCAGAGATATATCTATTGTGCAAGAGGATTGTATAACAAAACATCGCCTTTCAAATTCAATTATTTCTCAAACTATTTACTTTCTGCCAAAACATCATTGACGGGCCAAGTTTCCTAGCCTCGGGGGAAATGGCACAAAATTGCAACTTTGCAATTTGCGGTAAACCTCGAAAAAAATAGAAAACAAAGACAGTGTTTTAGATTTTTTTCTCCTAGTGAGCTACGACCTATAGACCTATAGTAGTATAGCAAATCAGAATGCAGAATCCATATCAGCTCGCCACAGGTTTGAAATCCCAATACTAGGAATAATTAGGCCTAATGAATTAATTATTGAAAGCAGGAGATAAAGAAAAACAAAGCTTTGCATGAATGTTATTTGTTTCACAAGTTATCTCAAACTGTAAAAAGTTATGATTTTTGTTTAGAACTTCTAAATGGATTGATAAACTTTCCTTCCTTGATTTTGAAATCACTATATTTTTTCCATTTCGAAATTAATTGCGTCAAGTAAACAAGAGAGAAGTTAACATATTAGACTGTCGAAATATATTTTTTTAAATTTACTTAATTTGAACTGTCTTGTACTGAAATTTAGTAGAATGATTTTTTAACCACAGGTCTCACCTTATTTTCTTCTTCGACTGAATTATTTTTATCTTCGTCGTCGCTCAGCGACGTATTTTTGGCTTGTAATTTTGACGACATTTTCAAATCGAGTTCTTTAAATATTTTTTGAACTAAATTTCTTTTTCGAGGATCAGAAATTAAACGTAAAACTAACACCAAAGTTTCGTCGACTTTGATAGCAAAGCAAACATAAGTTTTAATGCGTTTTTGTTTTTCGATTTCCGGAAGAAACTATGCAAATTCAAAGCAGTTTCCTATCGCCCGCAAACTCATCTAAAAACCCAGTGAGGTTAATGACAATCTTGATTGAAATATTTACTCACCATTTTCTTGGATTCTGTGGTTTTAAATGTCTTCAAGCCACTTTTCAAAAAAACCGAAAACACTGACAATCCAGGCGACGAGGAGTGACCACGAATCGAATAAACTGATACGTCAAAACATTTCACTCCTATATAGAAAATTCTACTGGTTTCTCTTTGTTTTCCATGAAGGTTTTGCGAGTCATTTTCTGGCAACATAATTATCCTCTCTGCTTCTGTTTTYTTTGTTTATTATTGATGCACAGCAAGAGGTTGTAGTGACTGATAGGTTTGTTGACTGAAGGGATTGACTCGCGCGGAGGCGGTAGTGATAGTCATTCAAATATTGCTAAAAATTATATAAGTTCCTCACGCAAGAAATAAATTAGCTTGATGATGATATTCGACGTTGGAGAGAGGAATTGGAAGTTACAATCCCCTGTCCTTCCCTCCCCTCCCCGAGGAAAAGTAATGACATTTTCCTAATGGACCCTGATCGACCACCAACTAGACAAAACATTTTTCTTATTTCAGTTCACGTGTCATTCTCTTGAGAATAAGATTCTTTGTTTGATCCATAAGATTCTTTGTTTGAGTTGTATCCATATTCATGTGTTGTTTGATACGTAATCGATTAAAAAGGAAATGATACTCTAGGGAATGACATGTGGTCTGAATGGGTTTGAAARCAGTAGTTTCACTACGAGCACACAGTTTGCCGATTGCGCGACTGAGTTTTCCAAGAAGCCTAGTTTAATTTTCGACGATTTCTCACCTAAAAAGAATTCTAATCCAAGTCATCTATCTTTTAGAGAAACTTCAAGCCATTTTACTTTGCTTGTGAATGTCAATTTAARGTGTTTGTCTCAGTCCTCGGCACAAAATACGAACAACTCGCCGGTTCGTGATACTTTAGAAAATGTTTACATGACTGTCAAATGATAACACAGTATAGAAGGTATGCGCATGCGCGTAAACTCAGTTCATTTTCATTTTCCCTTACCAAGCATCCCACATGGAAAGGAGTGTTAATTGATGTTTAGCCATTACCAACACAGGCGACATATTTGGGTCTACTGGTCATAGCAAGGGGTTAATCATCTTTTGCAAGTAAGCTCACGATTGCCGATGGTTGGTGAAGTTTTTCTTTACAAGTCGGTGTAGAAATCAAGTCCAAGATCTGAGATTCACAGTTCAAGATTCAAGGCTCAAGATTCTCAAGACTCAAGAATCAAGATTTCTGAAGTCAAGAACTGGAAGTTGTATCCTCCTCCCTCTGTTGGATTATTCCCTAGGTTTGTCCTACTTCGACAACCTAGGAATATTTCCTTCAAGGGCGCTGATTATTAATATTTTTTTGGTATATTATTTTTTGGTCAAATATGTTCTCGGTACATAGGCCAAATACATTAGAATTAGGGCTTCCACGTCAATTACAGAAGCTTAGACAGCCGGTCACTAGGGATGAAATTATTGCGGCCATTGGAAAAGTTCTTGGGAACGAATTGCGTACTGCCATAAAATGTGTTCAGGTGTCTAATACAGGTTATTCTTGTAGAGTAACGTTTAAGGAGGAATCTCATAGACAAAGGGAACAGTTATTTACGAAAGGAATCTATATTAGGGGCTGTTTTTGCTTTTTCAA